AATCCTGGGAGTTGAAGTCCACACCTCTTCAAATTGCCAAGGTTGAGAAACACTGGTATAAGTAGTATTATGTAATGAACTCGAACCATTGTGGATTTAACTTGAATTTTGCTACAATAGGCTCCATTGTTAACTACAGATCTTCTGTAATCCGGGCATTCTTAACCCAGGGACTACCTGTAGATCAGACTGAATAAGATCACAGAGTTGGAAGTGACTAGAGAGGTCATCTAGTCCAACCCTCTCTTGAGCCTCTCTTTCATATTTCATCCCTTCCTTGGGTCACAAACACAACTTGCCAACAGCCCAGGAAGCCCTCCCAAGGAGCACCTGCGGATTGTCACCCTCTGTTTGGGGGATTAAAACAGTCCTCCCTACAGCTTTGCACGCCCTGTTACTTAGCCCTCACTTGATGGTGATCTGCGGGCGCTCCCCGTTCTCCAGTTTGAGGTTCATGAGGATCTCAAGGATGGTCTGCGACCAGTAGCTACGGTACGACAACAGCCCCAGGTCTGAGAGGGGTTTTTCAGGCGTGCCTGTCTTCCCTTCCACCTTGGACAGCTCGTAACCTGGAGTGGAAAGAGAGAACAAGGTTTAGCTGGAGCTACCCAGGATTTCAAGAAAGAGATCCGGGTGAAAGGAGTATCAGTTTCAACATCCAGCCACCCCACATCTAATGTTTCAACATCCAACATCGAATGTTTTTTTTAATCCATATGACAGGCGGAGGGAAGGAAGATCCTCTTTGCTCTCTGCATCCCTGGGCACTAGCCGTGCTGGCTGGGGCTGATGGGAGCTGTAGTTCAGGCAAGAAATAGAGGACTGCCCACTTCCCCTGCTGTTGCAACAGATGTTTCCAAATACTGAGGAACGTTTGCCAGCTTTCCCCCAAATTCTGGGAATGGAAAGCTGCATGAAAGCTGCACTTCACTTCATCCCCCTCCCTTCCGAATGGCTAAAAAAAGAAAAAAAAATCCCAATTCTGGATAATAACCCATTTTGCTGGAAGGGTGACTTCAAGACATGATAAGCCTGCATCTCAAGAACTGCTTGCTCTTGGGAATAACTGCTGTTCTTTTGTAAGCTGACTGCAGCTTTGCCTGGTGAATGCAGTTCAGGGTAGATTCCAGATACAAAAAGGGGGGGGGGTTGTTTTTGGAGGGGGAATCTGTTGTTCCTCTCCCCCAGGGAGGAGCAGCTCGTGAGAACCTCCATTTTCTTTCCCACAGCAGTGAAGTTCTGTGTAGCGCTTGAGTTAACTAACTAGTCCTGGATGAAACACAGGAGATAAGAAAACTGGAACCACAGAAGGAATGGGGTTGCCTCTCACAAAGTCGCTTCGTTTTGTTTTAAAGCAACTGAATTAACAAAGGCTCCACTGGTTTAGCCTGGAGAGTTCTAAAGGGGAAAAAAAAGCTTGCACGTCTTTAAAAGAAAAGCTCAGCTTTCAACTCCGGATGCCAAAAGCAAAGAAGTTGGCTGGGACAATTTAAATTTTGCTGCCTTAGCACCTTTTCTAAACCCGTGCTGCTGGATCTCAGGGTTTGGGGGGGGGGGGAGGAGGCGATCAAGTACGTCTGTGAACAAAGCCGGAGCGAGTCACCAGGAAGGTAACAAGGAACAAAAGTAGAGTTTAAAACCTGTTCAATTCAAAACAGGAAGAGTCACGTACTGAATTCAATCAGCAACTTGCCATAGCCCCGTCTCTGATAAGGGGGTAATGTCAGAATACAGGCCACATTGTAATCTTCGGTGGATTCCTTTTCCTGAAAGGAAGAACAAGACAAGCGCCACGTAAGGCTCGAGATCTCGACCAGACCTTTCCAACATTTTTGGCCAAACCCAGATCAGCCTGTCCACCAAAGTCCCTCGCTTCATCTTGCGTTTTCATCATGGCTACTAAGAGTTTCAAATAAGGGGCTATTTCAAGTCCTGACAATTTCATAAGTCATCGAGAATTTAGCACAGGTTTGCCCTTGGTTTTGTTTGTTTCAAATCCAAGTTTCTAGCCCTTATGGCGGCAAAGAAATTCTTGAGCTCCCAAATGCAACGCTGAGTGAAGTAACCCTGCCTTGCTACCCACTTGAATAATACCCCTTCGCCATTATCCCCTGGGTGTTGGTTTTGTCATCTAAAAAGTAGGCACATCCCAAATTCTTTGCCACCTTGACTTCAGAGGCTGAAAGCGAGGAAAACCACCCCAAACAGAGGTTAACGTTTGTTAACTTTTAGTTTTAATTTTAACCTTTCGCAGTTTTTAACTTGTATATTTTTTCTAAGATTTTATAGTTTTTTTCCTTGTAATGCTGCCTGGAGTCACTTGCACAGCGAGATGGGCGACATGTATAAATTTGAAAAATAAATAAGTAACATTGAAATACATGTGGCAAACTTGCCACGCTTAAGAACGTCGATCCCCTTTCAAACAGGGTGGGAACAACGGCATCGAAACAGACAATGAATTTTTGAATTGAGCAAAGCCGCACCTTGGAGAAATAGCCGACGATGTGAAAGCCTTTGCTGTCATATTCGGTCATGACGTAGAAGAGAAAAGGATCTGTGTCGTAGTAGAGGGTTTTGTGATCAAGGAAGCATTTTGCCAGAAGACAAAGATTCTGAGAATAGCTCTGGAAGAGAGCAGGAGGGAACGAAAGGGCCAAAGGATGAATAAATAAATCACTGAAGCTCAGGTAGGATGAATTCATGGCATCGAGAACTGGGCTAAGGACAGGAACAACAACAGTAACCTGGAATGTTTAAAATCTGAAACTGGGATTAGAAAGGTCTTGCCAGTTTCAGGCGCCTCTGGGGTCTAGTGTGCTGGCTGGGGAATCCTGGGAGTTGAAGTCCACCCATCTTAAAGTTGGCGGGGTTGGGAAACACTGCTCTAGGGCTCCCTCACCACAACCAATTTTGAGAAAATCACTGAGCAATGTTCTTCTTACGTGACCAAAGAAAAGGGGAGGGGGAGGGAAGGGGAGGAGAGGAGAGAATACTACTCTTAAGTCACAGTTCTGAACATTCTTGCTGCACCTTAAACTTGCATAAATCCTACTTTTTCCACCTTAGTGTCAACAGGCACAAGACCTGCTTTCCCATCTTGGGACCAAAGATATCGACCTACCCAGAAAGAGGAGGGGAAAAAACTCAGTGTCCCTGCAATAGTCTGGATCAAACTAATTCCCCTTTTCTCTTCTTGCATCTAGACTGCGATGCAAAACATTCCTGTGAACTTGGGGAATTCTGGGAGTTGAAGTCCACCTATCTTAAAGTTGCCAAGGTTGAGAAACACTGTTCTAAATGGAAGATCTCAGACACAGCCCCCAGCTTGTCCACTGGGATTAAGGAACAGGGAATCAGAACAAACCCTGGAAACAGATGCTAGTCAGAGTATATGATCTTAGACTAGATCAGCCTTCCCCAAGTTGACATCCTCGGTTTGGACTTCAGCTCCCATCACTGAAAACCACTGGATTAGGGGTACGGAACTAGTATCTTCTGGGCTTTGTCAGGCTGGAGAAAGCTGGCCTTGACACTAACCAGGAGAGACCAAAGCTCCGTAACTAAACATGCAGAACTGAAACGCACACAGAAAGCGGCATGTTTAACCTGGGTGAGAATGGTCTTCCCCATCAGGGGATCCACAAGGAACTCTGGGAAATGTAGTCCCAGTGCACCTGGCAGATTCCAGACCGGGGAAGACTAGATACAGCACCCAGGGCATTTCTCTTGCCTTGTTCTTCCGGCCATCGATCTCAAAGAAGGAGATGGTCCCCTTGCGGTAGATTTCATTGCCTGGAGGGTGCCTCAAGTCACACTTCATCTGCAGACAAGAAAACCACAGACTTGGTGCCTTTCTCACGAAGAAAAGAAACACCCTGAGGGGTCAATACGTTTGTTTGGGGAGGGGGGAACTGCTTCAGCACGATCACACTCTGTGCTTTTGGGGGTTTCTAGCCAGGGAATATCATGTGAACTTTGAGATATGACTTTTGGCCAGAGGAGGCGCATTGTGTGAGCGTGGACTAAACAGCATTCAGAGTCCTGAGGATTTGGGGAATCACATCAAGATGGGAAAAGGGAGATGGAGGGGTGGGAAGGAGGGTACTCTTTTAAATGTTTTCCATTTCACCAAACTGCATTATCTGTTCAAAGATGTCTGCATCATTTGGATTGCCTTTTTTACACACACACAGAGAAATGTAGCAAGACAATGCCTGCTGTTTATCCACTGCTTGTTGCCTGAAAGAGCAGTGGCGTGGGCTCGGGATGATGGGAGAGGGGATCCTTTGCATGATCTGGGGGAGCAGCAAGTGAGGGAAGGACGTCAGACAGGATCGGGGCCTCTGATCCCAGGCTCAGCTCCTGGAATTTCCTGCAGAATGGGGGAGAAAGGAACGGCAACTTACCAGGTGCCTCTGGAGGCACTTGAGGCTCTTGACATACTTAAGGCAGAACTCGCAGAGGTAGACGACGGGGAGGGCGGTGAGCTCCTGCGGGTAGGGGGAGAAGTACCACGGCTTCAGGCGGTGGCGCCCCAGCTCGATGCACTCGATGTTCTTCATTCGAGTGACGATGTCATCATGGCTGCGGTCCGAGACCAGGCTGCCCGTCATGCGGGGCGCCGACGGGATCCCGTCTGAGCTGTCCTGGGAATCCTGCTTGCAAGAATCAAGGGGGAACATTTTGGATTGAAGAAGAGACACGCTCTCTCCTCCAAGGCGGCCCCGGAGGTGGAGATGGGCACCGCCAGCTTCCCGGCCCCGATGTGTACCTCGTCTGTCCCAAGGCAGTTGGATTTCCTCTTCCGGCCAGGCTGGGCGGCCACAGCTCGCCGTGCGGAGCCATTCTGGAAAAGAGGGGGCCACAGAAGACATCATGGGGGGGGTAGTTGGCTGCTGGGTGGATTGGCCCAAAGTCAGCTCTTAGAGGATCAGAAATGGCTTTGAAACCAGAAAGTACCCAGCAGAGGAGCAACGGGAAGTGCAACTGTCCGACAAAAGAGCTATGAGAGACCTCTGGAGGAGAGCAGAGCTGTTCTTTCAGCTCAGCTTTCCCCCAGCTGACGTTCTCCGTGTGGGTCAGACTTGAATCCCCCAGATTTGCAGCCAGCACATCCAAAGGTCAACGTATCTAGAGGGCACTCCATTGGGAAAGACGAGGCCCCTCGCATAAGGGATTGGCTTCCCAAAGAAAAATCCTCCCTTCCTCCCCGAAGCATGGATCTCCAAACGGCCCAGCGCGGACTGGACTGAGCAATCACTCTCCTTCTCTTGGGCTCACTTCCAAGTTAGTAAAGCAACAATGAAAATATTGCTTTCGGTGAAATAAAAAGCTGGCTTCTGCTTACCTGGGGAAAAACCGAGGCCTGCGTTGTCTCGGTTGGAGTAGGGATGGGGGTTGCGGGCGAAACCACCTCCACCTTCCGCTTCTGGAAGACACCAAACGCAGCAAGGTCTAGAGGGTGGCCTGCCCTCCTCCGCCTCCTCCCCTCCCCAATTTCCACCAGCAACGTTGCCTCGCCAAGGACGAGGAAACTCGGCCTGTGATTGGCGGGAGGGGTTGGTCAGGCCAAGCCCTTGCAACTACTGCCCAGGTGAAGACAGCTGGGGGAAGAGAAGAGGGGTCATACGAGGCCTTTGACTGGATGGATCCCTTCGGAGACAGAAAAAGAGATTCCAACAGAAGAGAAGATGGGTAGCCCAGGGTTGAATTGTGGCGTTTGTAAACGACCCAACCTCAGGGAGCACCAAGAACTCCTCAAAAAGGAGATTGCGCCTCCCCCCTTTAGGATCTAAAACAGTGCTTCTCAACCTCGGCAACTTTAAGATGTGTGGACTTCAGCTCCCAGAATTCCCCAGCCAGCAGGGCTGGCTGGGGAATTCT